GGTTTTTCTTCTACTATAGATCTGACGGAGAAGAAGAGATTATGTTCGACAAAAGATAGTCTAAACAAGTAAACGGTGATGCTGACGTTAACTGCGAGATAACGATGACGATGACGGAAATTCTCTTAATAATAGTCACAAATAATACAATATTCATATAAATAATACTATATCAATAACATTTCTTACAAACTTTCTCTAAACCCTAACTTGGTAACTCGTAATTGATCAGGTCATAATGGATCCACATGAGTCCCACTAATTAATTGCAAGTTGACTAATTAGAAACTGTCACATCAGGATTGTGAGAGAAAGGTTGTAAGAAAGGGTTGTTGCTGTAATATTACTCCATTCATATTGATGTTACCATTAGTTAATGACATATAGACATCATTGTTAGGTAACAACACATGGGCATCACCCTTAGTTAACTGCAAGGTCAACTGCAATGTTAGTTAACGAGGACATTGATATCGTCGTTAGTTAACGAGGATATTGACATTGTTAGTTATGGGGATATTGATGTCATCGTCATTGTGTTGTGTCTAAAAATTCAACGCCTATCGTGTCGGGGCCTGTTTCGTGTAAGGCCTATAGAAATTATGTCTGTCATGCTGTGCTAACCTGCCAAATCTAAAGGCCCTAGCATGACCCGCTATATAGCGTGTTGTGGCAGGGTTGTGCCGTGGGCTAGTTTAACATTCCATAATTTCATTAATTTCTTTGAAATTTGTAAGCCATGGCATGGCAAGGAAATTGCGTTGTTGCTAGACTTTTTTAAGGAGAGTTGTGTCAACAAGTGAGTCGGCACAATCCATCACCAGCTCTAGATGTCAGCATGTTTTGTGAAATGATGGTGACAACTTGTGGGGGCAAGATTTAACCCTACCAATAGAAACACCAACCATTTCTTTGAAGGAGCATTGAGGAAGATTGAATTTTACTTTCTCAAAACTGCTTAAAGATGACACATTTAGCAGTAACTCAGAAGAATTAGCAACTCCTGAGCCATTTCATGGTTTTAGGGGTGAGCGGTTCTGGGTACCCTGCATATTTCGAGGGAACCGAAACCGCACAATGCAGGTTCTTAAATTCAAGGAACTGGAACCTACGAAAACGGAACCTAAAATGCAGGTTCTGGTTCCTTTCCCGAGTACCTATAAACAATTTACCCCCCTATTAGTTTTAAAAATGACAAAAATATCTTAAAAGTTTACAAATACACCCCTAACAAATTTGATACTCATTCATTTGTCCAATGTGACTCATAAATCCTCTAATATCTAGGCAAAACTGAATTCAATCAATTCATCACAATTCACATAAAATTCCTCAATCAAAACCCAAACACAAACAATTAAGTAAGTAATCTTACTATAAATCTATAATTTAATATTATAATTAATTAAATTTCTAATCATTTAATTAAGTATTTTACTAATGTTTATAATAAAATATTATAATTAATTAAGTAATCATACAATAAATCAATGATGTAATGTTATAATTAATTAAATTTTTAATCATTTAATTAAATAATGTACTAATGTAGTAAATTACTAAGGTTTATAATATAATGTTATAAATTTATAATTAATTAAATAATCATTTAACTATGAAATGTTATAATTAATTAAGTGATTATAATATAATGTAATGTTATAATTAATTAAGTAATTATTTAATTATACTGTAATGTTTTAATTAATTAAATTTCTAATCATTTAATTAAGTATTATATTAATGTTTATAATAGAATGTTATAATTAATTAAGTAATCACACTATAAATATATAATGTAATATTATATTAATTAAATTTCTAATTATTTAATTAAATATTGTTCTAATGTAAGAAATTACTAATATTTATAATATAATATCATAATTAATTAAATAATCATTTAATTATGTAATGTTATAATTAATTACGTGATTAAACTATAATGTAATGTTATAATGAATTAAGTAATCATACTATAAATTTTTAATGTAATATCATAACTAATTAAATTTTTAATTATTTAATTAAGTGTTGTACTAATGATTATAATAAAATATTATAATTAATTAAGTAATCATTTGTTTACAATGTAATGTTATAATTAATTAAGTAATTATACTATAAATCTATAATGTAATGTTATAATTAATTAAATTTATAATTATTTAATTAAGTAATGTATTAAATTATTAATGCAATGTTATAAACTTATAATTAATTAAGTAATAATTTAAATATAATGTAATGATATACTTAGAACTTGATAATTGAAGTAAATAACTAAATATTATATTATTATTCAATCAAATATACTATTTTATTCAAAAAACAATTCTTTTAATAACATTAAAACAATTTTAATTGGTTATAATTCCAATTATACACTTAATTAATAAAAACTTTAATACTAACATATTATAATATATTAAAGTTTTTTATATGGTGTAATTTATATGTAATAAATATAATTGTATATTTATTTATTTAGGTTATTGTAAAAATTTAACTTTTTCTATTTTAAATTTTTTTATATGTAAAATTATAATAGACCTTCCATTCTTCACAGATATTTATTTCAGCTCAAGTTCCAAAACAGGGTACCCGCTGCAGGTTCCAAGTCAGGTATCTACTGCAAGTTCTTTTTTTCAAGTTCAGGTTCCGATTCCTCCACATGTAGGAACCGAAACCGAAACCGGAATCGTATAGTATAGGTTCTAAAAAAATAGAACCAGAAACTACCCGCATAGTATCGGTTTCAAGTAGGTTCTGGTTCCGATTTCGATTCTACCTACAGGTTCTGGTTCTATCTGTTACCCGTGCTCACCCGGGTTTAAAATAAATTAGAAGAATAGATTTTGAGTTTTATATTGGAGAAATGAGAAACTGTTTCAAGCCTACGCTGCTGCAAATTATGAAGCGAAAGCTTTATCCAAAACAACAGAGCAGAAGAGACCCATCTTCCACCCTGGAAATGGAAGTTGGGGTAAGCCGTCCAAAATGTCACGCCATCATCGTTTAGCGAGTAAAAAAGAAAGAAAAAAGATGTTTATTGTCGTTATTTAAAAGTAAAAACTTCCTGGTGTACCATCAAAATATAAGCTTTACCTGGTAATTGTACAAGGTGAATTTATTGCGAAATTGATTCTACAGCCATTGTACATCTAGCGGAAAATCCTATAGAATATTCTTCAACAACAATATGCTCTGTCCATAACTCCATACCCTGCTTTAATTTACTGCACTTTCCACAGCAAAAAAACTCTCTTGCAACCAAACATCAAAACCCAGTTCATCAAACTTAAATTTCTCTTAATTTGAATAAAAAACTTCCTTCTTTTCACCACCCAGTTCTAGTGTTCTTTTTCAGTAGTTTGATTGGTACTGAAGAGAAGGGTTTTATTCAAGTTTCTTTATTATAATTCATTGACTAAAATTAGTTTATCAATATTTGGACCTGGGTCGAGTTAAATTCGGGTAAGGCCGAATGGGGTTAGGGTTTTCTATTACAAGTATTTTGTAATAGTGAGTAGCCTAATGTGAGATAGACAATTAGAGTGAGTTGTCGTTGTAATCGCGTAAAGTTTTGATACTCAATAAGAATTTTTTGTTTGAATGCTGGACGTAGTTTCTTAATCGGAACGAATTAGGGTAAATAGTGTGTTTTATCTTTTACATTATACTTTACTTGTGATGTGTTGGGTTTTCGGTTTCAACAATTTAGTGGTAACTCACTTATGTTTGTCTTGCAATTGGTGCTCATATTCACAAAGTTTTGGAGGTCATTGCATTTCAAAAATTGCGGATTAAAAATTCCGGGATTAAGACCATGCAGCCACAATTTTAGATTGAAAATCTTAGAAATTGTTTAAGAGAATTAAGCACAAATTGTGTTTCCAATTGGGTGGCTGTAAATGTCACCAAAGGAGTCCAACTACACGTTTCAAAACGTGATGAATGGATTAGGAAATCGCGCAACAAAAAAACATACATTCGAGATTAATAATATACGAATAAAATCACACCACATAAAGAGACACGATATTTACGTGGTTCGGCATATATTGCCTACATCCACGGACGAGAGAATTCCACTATAGTTTCATGAACATGATATACAAGAATACACTTTCTAACCCATCATAGTTTCTAAAATACTCTACCATGACGTTTAATAACCCTTACATAAAATGTCTTGTGTTCTCACATTCTCTTATAACTTTGAATTAGTTCTTATCCCTAAATTTATAGGTAGTATATGAGACATTTTATTTCTAATGGAATTCATATTTCAATTCCTAATAAGACTCATAATTCTATTCCTATTCCTATTCACATTTTTATTCTTTATTAAATAGCTTTTCCTAAAGATATATAATTTGATATAAGAACAAATGAAAAATGAAACACAATATCCCAAAAGAATGTGGAGACAAAGTCAACATAATCTTGCAGCACTATTCTATTTAGGCCTTCATTTCTACATCCAACTTCTATCAATAAAATCTGTGTTGTATCCTCGATACTTTTATCTGCAGAACCTGATGAAAGGAGTAAAGAGAAGCAGTACTGCAACAGTGAGTATGAAAAACCTTATATTCAACTAAAAAAGAACTCGAAATTAACTTGGATAATGATGTAGTCTAAACAATTTGTAATTAACAGACTTTTCAAGATGTAGATATAATTACCATTCCAGGACAAACAGTTGTTAAAAAATAGCACAGCTGACTTATAGGAAATTAAAGTGGAGCACACCTAATTTTCTTCTCCTTCGCGTCTTCTGTTCAGCATTCTCATTTGCCTTCATCAATTAGGATTAGTAATTTCAGCAATGCCATTTTATAGATCAAAAGACTATTAGCTTGTCATCTACTTTACATCTAATTTCACAACCCAAAATGACCGACAAATAAATTTTAACAGAGTGATTTTATTATTATTATTAGTGATTCATTTATAAAAAGCAAAACCCTCAGTAACTCCAACAGAACCACATTATCTAAAGCGTGTGAAAAATATATTAGCTTACCATCTACTTGAATTACTTCACAACCCAAAAATAACATACGAATTACTTGTCCACAGAGAATGGAAGAAAATCGATGGCTTGAAGATGATAACTAGACCATGTAGACACAACCGGCTATCCTCCTTGCTCTGAAAAGAAAGAGAATGTTGAAAACATGCTGGAAATTCTTATGCTTTTAAATTAAGACAAAGCTACATATATTTTCTTTAGAAGTTGGATGACTTACCTTATAGAGAGCAGCACTAGCTTTAACTCTCAAATGTCTTCTTCTTGGATGATTTCTGTTCACTCTTCTCATGTTTCTAAACCTTATTCTTTCAACCATCATTACAAACCATAGTAGTTTTCCTGTTGTGAATATAATATAAAAAAGAGGGTGAGCAGTTTCAGATACCTACCGAAATTGCTGGGAATGGGAATCAGAATCGGTCGGTTCCTGGAACTGGAACTTGAAATGCAGGTTCCGTTCTGGTCCCCGGTACGTAGGAGAATTAAATTACACCTATTAATTTAAAAATGACAAATATACCCTGAAAAAATTACAGTACACCCCTGGTAGTTCACAAAATTCACACATACACCCTGCAGTTTGCTTAAAAAAATCACATCTTCTACAACTACTATTCCCAATCTGAAAATTATAAATAAAATTCATCATTTCAAATAACATAAGTTACATAATAACAAAATAGTGAAATGCAATCATTAAAATATCATGTCTCATGCACCAAATTTGCTGTGGATATTCCTTCGTCAAGTCCAATCATTTCTACAAAATATACACAAGAAAGTCAATTAGTAGCTTAAAAAGTAAAATCATTGAATAAAATTATTAACCAATTGGATGGTTGATTGGACGGTGATGGAAGGTCGACGACATGAACTGAGAACAAATCTTATACTGGATAGTGGGTGGAGACATGAGTTTGACTCTTTTAATTTTTTCCTTTTTTTCCCCAATTTGCGATTGCAATTCCTTATATGTCAAATAATATTTGATATAAAAATTACAAAACACACCCCATTGAGCCGACTCTGGTTCTGGTTCTAGCCGCTACCCATGCCCACCCCTACAAGGCTACAATATGTCCCATATACAAGCCTATTATCAATCCACATTTGTAACCCATCAAAGCAATTTCCAGCTGAACCAACTTGAAGCATTGGAGAATTTTCATTCTTGGGTTGTAATCAGTTCGTGTATAATTTTTTTCGCCCAAATGTTTATGGATGAAATTTGTGAGCGACGCAATGAAAATAACCCCATTACTACCATGCCATCACCAAATTATAGTAATTGAATGGATTTTACTTTGACTAAAGAAAATTAACTATGCTAATACAAAAAAAAAAAGACAGGGAGATGAATTGTAAAATAAAATGGAGGACCAGAAGTGCAAACTGAATCGAAAATCAATTATGGAAGTGAGCTTAAACTTAAAATTCAAAAAACAAACATGAAGGACCAATTGTAAAGTATAAAGTTAAAAAATTTCAAGAACAGAGATCCAGAAAAGGATATAGAATCCAAAACCAGTTCTGCAAGTGGGTTTACCTTTTGTTGGAGAAAGGAGGTGGAATTCTCCTGCCAAAACATGAATAATAATGAGAATGGTTAAAAACAGTAGAAGAAGAAGATTAAAAACTCAAACATGAAAGAGCAGTACATGAACTTACTAATTTCTTCTTCTTGGAGGCCTTTTTTCAACTCTCCTCATGTTTCTCAGACTTACTCTTTCAATCTTCCTTACAAACCATTGCGGTTTTCTTGTTGTGAATACAATATATCCAATGGATAATCCCAACACCAGTCCACATCCATAACCCATCAAGGCAATTTTCCAATTAAACCAGCTCGACCCATCATCTTCTTCATGGTAGATTGATGATACTGGAGATGGTGGCTTATCAGGAATACACTTCCTTGACAATGGGGATCCACACAACCCAAAGTTTCCAATATAAGAGTCATTTGGAAATGTATCAAATTGATTTCCTTGAGGTATGGATCCGACAAGTTGGTTGTATGAAAGGTTCAACACAGAAAGAAATGTTAGACTTGTCAGCTGATTAGGAATCTTTCCAACAAAGTTGTTGAAGGAGAAGTCTAATGATTCAAGTTGAGTCAAATTTTCCAATAATGATGGAATATCACCTGTAAGATTATTATGAGAAAAGTTGAGGGCCTGAAGGTAATTAAGCTTTCCAATAGCTTTTGGAATTTGTCCTTCAAATTTGTTGTTTGACAAATCCATGATTGTGAAAACGTTTAGAATTCTGTCTATTTCTCTATCAACACCTTTCATTGTTAAAACAATTGAATAATACAAAGAATAACCCGAAAACTCCCAATACTCTACGCTAGCCACCGCTGGAGGTTCTTCCAGTTCCAGATATTCCAATTCACCTTTAAAAATTTTCCCACCCATCATTTTAAATTTCTCAAAAAATCTTGTTGGTAAAGTACCTGTGAACTGATTGTGAGAAATATCAATTATTCGTAGCTTATGAAATGATAATCTTGTCTTTGATTTTCCAATGGAACCATGAAATCTATTAGATCTCAATATTAGAACTTGTAGATCTGGAAGTTTTGCTAACCAATGAGGAAAAGTATCATTTATCATGTTGTTCCCAACATTTAGAACTTCCAATTTACTACAGTCAACCAATGTAGGTGGTAATGATCCCTCTAACTTATTGTCGTTAAGGTTAATATATTGAATGGTGAAAGATATTGAGGGGATGTTACCATGGAAATTGTTCATTTCAAGGTTCAAGAGTGAAAGCGAAGCGTTTCCTAGACATTGAGGAATTGCTCCACTCAAGCTATTGTCAGACAGGTCAAGAACAGCAATACCGCTCCAGTTGCAAATTGACGAAGAGATCTCTCCCGTCAACATGTTGTGGGAAAGTAATAAGGTGTTCATATCTGGTGCATCGAGAATCACAAGTGGGCCTTGGAGCAAGTTGGACTGAAGGTCAAGAACAATTGGATTCATAGTTGAAGTTTTTCCAAAAGGGAAGAAACTCGTAATAAAATTGTGAGAGAGATTCAAATATAACAAATCGTAAAACAATTCAAATTGCCATTGAGTAATTTCGCCATGAATTCTATTGTTTGAAAGGTCTAAGAATTGCAAGGTTTCTGAGGTTCTTAAGAAAATAGGGAATTCATTTATGTGGCAAGAAGAGCATCTGAAGCTCTCAAGGCAGGGCAACGTAAAGGTTTCATTTTTCTGATTAACAAATGATAGTAAGGTGTTGTGAGAAAGGTCAATGTCAGCGAGATTTTTGAGCTTAGACAACTTGTATGCAGTCACATTGTCAGTCAAGTTGTTGGATGAAAGGTGGAGGGATGTAAGGTTTAAGAGTTCAAACATGGAATTTGGAATTGAACCTCGAATCTCGTTATTCATCAAAGAAACATCTTTCACTGAACCAGTCGGATGGAACTCCTCAATTGGACCTGTGAGTTTGTTATTGCTAAGGTCTAATGTCTCTAAAGATGGCAGAGTAAACAACCAAGATGGTACTCTTCCGGCAAGAAAATTATTAGACATCTTGAGAGAAATTAGATTTGAAAGACCACTTACTTGAAATGGCATATGACCTTCAACTTGATTTTCGGAAAAGTCTAAAACAGAAAGCTGTGAGAGGTTGAATGCTGAAGACGGCAACTGACCACTGAAATTGTTCAATGAAAGATCTAGATCAGTTAATTTGCTGAGGTTGCCAAAAACATCTGGGAACTTTCCTTCAAAATTGTTCCCTCCGAGATTTAAACTTGTAAGCTGACTGAGTTTAGATAATGACGTTGCAACTTCGCCTGTAAACTTGTTGCCTGACAAATCCAAAGAAGTTATTTCCGTGCAGTTCCAAAATGATGTTGGAATCGGCCCTTTGAATTTGTTGAAAGAAAGATCCTTCATATGGAAGTACCAAGGGACGCCTGAGAGATTCAAAACATTCAAGTATATAAGGTTGCCGATTGTGTCAGGTAACTTTCCCGAGAAATTTGTCTCAGAGAGATCCAAGAATCTCAGTGAAGAGCTCCAATTATACTTTGGTAAAGTACCAGTTAGAAATAGATTTCCGGTTAAACTGAACTTTTGGAGGAATGGAAGGCGAAAAACGTCTCCTGGCAAGTTGCCTCGCAGGTCTGTATTGCTGATAACAAGAGATATTAGAGTTGAAGACAGGTTCACCAAGGAGCCAGGAGCAACTGAAGACATATTCACACCATCAAGATGAAGATGTCTTAGTTTTGTTAGATTCTGCAATTGCTTACTGAAAACATGTCGGCTGTGTTCTGGTAATCCAAGTTGAAAGTTACTAGAAAGATCAATTGAAACAAGTTCTGCTAGGTGATAGATTTCGGTAGGTATTAGGCCGTTGAAGTTGGAGAAAGAAAGGTTAAGATGTGTCAGTTTCATGAACTGACCAAACTTGGATGAAATAGTGGATTCACTGAAATCATTACAAGCTAGATTGAGCTTCTGGAGATGGTCAAGGAGGAAGAGACTACTGTCGTCATAAACAGTGCCAAAGATCCAACTAGAAGAAAGATCAAGGCCAATCACTTGACTTGTGAAGCTATCACAAGTGACTCCCTCCCAAGAGCAGCAATCAGTACTCTCTTTCCAGGACTGTGTCTTAGGATAAGAAAGTTCTTCACAATGATAATTAGAAGAACTATTATCAATTGTCAAGGTATTCTTAAACTGGAGTAAGGCAAGACTTTGTTCAGGGGAGCAAAGTTTTGTAGAAGGAGAAGAAGAATTATTAGGCAAAGAGAAAATAACTCGAAAATTCAAGTACATGAAGAGGAGGCAGGGGAGTAGATTGTGCCATGATAAACTCCACATGTTTTTCACTGGAAATAAAAGAAAACAGAAACTGCTTAAAATTGTGTTGAGAGATGAGAAGTAAAGATGAAACGTCTATGTATTATATAGATAAATAAACAGAGAAGGAAAGTCAATTTGCAGCTCAGAATCCATTTAATGTGGGAATGGAGGAAAGTCTTGGTCACGCACTGAGGTCTACTCCACCAAGTCTTGGTCATCCACTAGTGAGGTACTAGTCAATAAATCAAATGCTTGTAACATTTCGAGAAATTGAAAGGCTTCACAATATAATATTCGAATCAAACAAGCATAACGCCTTTTTTTAACTCTCAAATTGGTTTGAATCCCAACTGTTTGGAAGATCCTATGTTGTGATAGGCCAAATCGGGAAGATGAAAAATAATTATATGTCAATAGGAGAAAAATAATAACCCACACAAAATACAAAATAATTTACGTATTACGGCTTTTAGCCTACATCCACGAGATCAAAATAGAAAAAGAATTTTATTAAAAATGGAATGTACATTTAGTGGTAACTCACTTATGTTTCTCTTGCAATTGGTGCTCATATTTATAGAGTTTTGGTTTTGGAGGTAATTGCATTTCAGAAATTGCAGAAAAAAAAAAAAAAAAATATGGGATTAAGACCATTGCAGCCGCAATTTTAGCTTGAGCATCTTAGAAATTGTTTAGAGACATTAAGCATAAATTGTGTTTCCAATTGGGTGGCTTTAACAATTTAAGCTTCAAAATGTGATGAATGTTGAGAATGATAGCTTGTTCTTTAGCTCTTGTAGTGTGGAACGGGCTACAAGACTTCTCCAATAATGTAATTATAAGTCTTGGTCTACTAAGTAGAAAACAATAATTTCTATGCTAATTTCCAATCTCATTTTCTGACTTGATTTGTATGCACCGATTATCTTATATAGAAAAATAATCTTGAGAGATTGAAGTCACTTTCTTTTCAGTAACTTTCTTCTTTTGGGATCAGCGTGTATAAAGCCTTGATTAGCACGTAATTTTCTTCTTTGAAAGATGAACCATTTCTTATAATATGGTTTCACAACATATTTTCGTCAATGTTAAATTTGTCCAATAATTTGATTAGCATATATAAAGTCTTGGTCCAATGGCTTCAAAACAAAAATGTCATTATTTCCACTTCCACTTTGTTACATAAATCATAGACAACAAAGAACATTTGTCGCATCCATTATTCTTTTTTCATTCTCTGCTGTAGTCATCGATAATTATGGTTTACATATCTTGAAATGATAGCTTGTTCTTTAGCTCTTGAAGTGTGGAACGGGCTACAAGGCTTTAATTATAAGTCTTGGTCTACTAACTAGAAAACAATAATTTCAAAGCTAATTTCCAATCTCACTTTCTGACTTGATTTGTATGCACCGATTGTTTTATATAGAAAAATAATCTTGGAGAGCTTCAAGTCACTTTCTTTGCTGTAATTTTCTTTTTTTGATTGTAAGGTTAATATTGAGATAATCTAATTTGAACAGTAGAAGTTGTACGCGGAAGCAAAAGTGCAATGATCATAGATGTTGTGAAAGAGAATATAGATGGTTAAGATGATATATGTATGGTTAATGTTATTGCTTGAAATTCAATACACATTTCTGATCTCATATATCTTTTTTGTATTTTCCCTGTTGTTATCTATTTTCTGAGTTGAAGATTACATTCCTATGACTGCAAATGTTTATGAACTCAAAATTTTGAAGGTAAACAGTTGAACATGATCTCATTATTAACATCTGAATTCTAAGCCAGGTTAATTTTAACGATTGTGGAAAAAAAAATTGGAGGAAGAGAAGTTGGTAACACCAAGTTAGACAACCCATCTTTCCTTAATTCACAAGAACAGATGTGATTATAAATAGAAGATTCACTGCTTTAAGTCTTGGTCAACTGTTGACGTCTTATAGATCACAAATGTCATTTTCCAAGTGGTGCCAAAACAA